AAGTAAATTTAGTTATTTACTAAATTCTTTAATTTGGCAAGATGACCGAATTTTATGGGTATATTCACCGTAAATCCTCACGAAACTACAACTCGTCCACTAAGGTAACCTAAGGGTTTAAAGGCTTGTTGTATGCGCTAAATATAACCGCGATTCCACGAAAGTGAGTTAGATTTTCTTTCATTTTATTTTCTTTGCTAGAGGACTAGCAAAAATTTAGGTGTGGGGGTATTTGATAATCATATTTTATTATAATTTTATACCCTCATTATCTATTTTATATGAATAAATATATCACTAATAATTATTTTTATCTTTAATTGCAGGTAATGAAGAATAAACCTCAAAACTCTCATCTCTCAACAAAAACCCCTTGAAATGAAGCAAAGAAGCCTATTAGAAAATCAAATTGTTAATTTATCCAAAAGCCCAAAATCAAAACAATGAAGCATGAAGAAATAAATCAAAGCCCAATGGAAAAACAAGAGATAATGCCAAAGCCTATAAGTCCATGCAAAGCCCAATGTCCAAGCTCAAAAACCAATGCAAGAAAGAATCTGCGGACAGTAACAGGAGAGAGGCTCACATCGATGCCAGCATCGATGCCCGTATTGATGCCAGCATCGATACCCCTATCGATGCTGGTATCGATACGGACGTACAGGCAGTTACAATCCAAATACTAAAATTTATTATTTTTGGATAAGATTTTAATCCAATGGCTCTCATTCACTAATGTTTACTATAAATAGGGGTAGAGAGTGAGGGGTTAGGAGTGTGAAAATTTTTGTAACTTCTTTTGAAGAGGAGGGCTACTCTTAATTGAGAAGGCCTTCTAAATTTATAACTTTTTGTGTAATTAATAATAATAATTTTTTCTCCACTTTAAATTTTTCTTTTCTCCTCTTTGTTGAATGATGAGGATGGAGATGAAGATGGAGAATTATTTGAAGGTTTGCATTTCTTTCTTTTTCTCTTTTATTGCTTATTAGTTTAGATTTATTT